GGGTCCCCTAAGTTAGGCCCCGTATTAGGCCCCGTACTATAATAGGGACCCAAAAAGGGACCATAATTTTGACAATCCCCCATATGTCAGGGTTTAGGGTGCGGGGCTTAGGATTTAGTTTTTTAGATTTAGTTTACTTAGGCTTTAAGGCTTACCCAAACCAAGAAGAAACCTTTTTTTGGAGAAGTATCCTTTTTAACAGGGGCTTGGGCTGCTGTCTTTGCCTCGGCGGTATTCAAAGACGCTGGGGCAGGATGTGGCGAGCTTCCCGAAACTCAACCCTAAACCCGGGTTGGGTATCCTTCGGAACGGATGCCGCATGTTTCATTTTTCGTAATTAGGACTCCCGACATTTTCGAAGTTATAGGCTCTTCATGCAATCCCAAGTAAGCCCAAAAGTTGACCTGCTGCCCTATTTAGGTTAGGGTTTAGTTTTCTTCCTCTTATATGGTTGATGTGGGCTAATGTGCTACCGGTAGTATGATTGTAAGATTCCCAAGCAAGTCTGAAGGTAGAGGGACGGCAGCGAGGGTAGCTCTGAGTTAGCGTATTAGGGTTTGGGGTTAGGGGTTTGGGGTTAAGGGTTAAGAGTTAAGGGTTTGGGGTTTGGGTTTTAGGGTTCAGGGTCGTGGGTTTGGGTTTGAGGCTGATGAAATGGAGGGTTTTCTGCCTAACTCCTGTTGTCGAGATCTAAGGGCCCAAGGATCCGGTGTCGGGCCCGGGTTTAGGGTGACCCTAAACCCTAAACCGCATGATGCAGTCTTTTGGGGGCTCAAAGAAATTGAAGGATGTAGTTTCAGTGATGAGGTGATTCTGGTATGGTATATTGTAGGGTACTTTCCCTACATAGGGGGACCCCTAATACTGTACTCCTCACAATGGGGATCTTCAAAAAGGTTTCCCTTGTTTTGGGAAATCACCATATATATATATATATGATTGTATATGTATACTCATGTATGTGAATGTGTATATATATATATTTATGTATGGCAAAACTCTACCCCGTGGCGTTTTGTTAAGTCAACTACATGCTGCACGTAAAATGTGCGTGCCGATTTGCGGATTTTCGCAAAAAATCAAAATCCAAAATGCGTTTTCGCAAAAATCAAAAAATGCCTCGGTCCAGCCTCCTTTCCAATATCGCTCATCGTTTCGCTGCCACATGCGTTTTGGGCGTGGAGGTGCGGGGTGTACATAAGAGCGGCCAGGTCATCTAAAAGCAGGTAGTTGCTGCGTACGCTTGTTTCACGTAGAGCGTTACTTACGCCTCGTCGACATAATCCCCCATCTTCGCACAGCTGTTGCAGTTGAGAAATTGGGAGTTTGTCCACAGAATCATTTTTTGCATCCTGAAAAGGGCGCCCTACAGTACTCATATGACTCACACACATCCATTTTCAGACCTTCCGAAATCGTACAGAGCACTTGAGCAAGTTTGAAAGCAATCTGCGGGAATGGGGTGCCAATTTGCCGCACCAGGCTTGTGAATCAGCCTACCCTTGCTGCAGAAGCTGCAGCATTATGGGGTCTTGGCAGCTAAGCGCACACTTCGTGGAGTTTCTCCGAGCAGAGCTTGAGGACTCATGGAAGGCAGCCTCCTGCAAGTGGAGTTCGTGGAGTTCTTTTCGGATGAAGCAGCGACTCAAGACATTGGGTTTTCCCCCAAAAAATAGGGATACAATTTCGGGGGTTCCACAAATCAGGTTTATAGTAGTTTGGGGTGAATATTGGGGCCACGTCTTTGCAAAGCGCGCCCAACCGGAATCGGCCCATATGTTGTAGGGTTTAGGGTTTAGGGTTTTGTAGGGCTTAGGGTGTAGGGTATTAGGGTATTAGGGTTTAGGGTTTAGGGGTTTAGGGATCAGCACTTGCTATGGATGAGAAGCAACACAGTAAGTTATTACTGTTTCATATTTACTGTTTTATATTTACTCTTGTTTTATATTTACTGTTGTTATTATCTAGGGTGTACGGTGCCCAGGGTCATACCCATAAACCCAAAACCCTAACCACTAAACCCGAAACCCGAACCCCTTGTGTTATACGGGATGATAAGCAGCTTTACCCAGTCAACCGAGCCTCAACCATGAGGTTTTGGGGTCAACCCTTAACCCTGGGGGTTCTCAGCCAACTGCCATACTGTAGACCCATGATTAATAAACGCCTTCCTTTTAGGCACCCAAATATTCGCATCCCTATTAACGGGAAGGGGTTTTTCTTAATCACGGGTCTGGGTTACCCTAAACCCCGAACCCTAAACCCTAAACCCCAAACCGTAAACCGTAACCCTAAACCCTAAACCCTAAACCCAAGAAGCAGAGTCAACCTCCACAGCTCCTAGGTAGAGGCAACAGCACTTACTCGCAAAGTGGGCACGGCCGTTGTGTCCTTGGGATTTCTGAAGGCCGGCTACCCGATGGCTAGGGTTTATGTAGGGTTTGGGATTGCCGAAAGGGCCGGTTTAGGGTTGAAGGTTTATGGGATGTAGAAAGGCAAAGGATTCGGACATCGGGGGGTGGGTCAAAAGGTTGAGGGGTCCGTTTTTTTCAGAGGCAGGAAGTCAGGAGCTCTCGATTGACTGGTGGCATCTAGGGATTTGGGGTTGAGCAATTTCAAAGTTCAGAACTTATCAGGTTCTAGGCCCCCAATATAGCCCTAATATTACCCATAATAATCCTAGCTTCCATTTCATTATCCATTTCCTCTTCCATTTGATTAGTGGGGTATTCTCCCTGATATTACCCCAGTTATAACCCCAACATACTATAGAAGTTTCCATTCTCTTTCCATTATTCCTATATAACCCGAAGATCTACCATATGGAATACTATAGTAGTTTCCATTTTCTTTTCCATTATTCCTATATAACCCCAATATACTATGGTAGCTTCCCAGTCTTCAGAGGTTGCATGTCATTCTCGAAGGCTCCGACGCTTGCCCTTTTTTTTTGGGGAAAAAATGGCAGAGCAGGAATCATGGTGGGGTTTAGGGTTTAGGATTCAGGGCTTAGGGTTTAGGGTTTAGGATTCAGGGTTTAGACCCTAAACCCTAAACCCTTAGGGTTTTGGGTTCATAGGGTTTTACGGCACCTTTGAGCAGCCTTTGCTCGCTAAATGGTCACAACCAAAGCAGGCTTCAGGGCTGCTGATTCGGGATTTCCGCTTTTTCAGGGCGGCTAGATCATTAAAGCCCCAACCCAGACCCCTGATTAATAAACCCCTTCCCCTCAATAGGGATTCTAATAGGGATCCTAATATTAAGGCCCTTAAAAGGAGGGAGTTTATTAACCATAGGTCTACATTAACGCAGGAAGCAGAGGCTATGGAGCGGTCGCTATCCCAAACTGAGCTGGGTAGGTCCCTGAAATATTTGATATGTTCCCTAATGGCTTTAATAAGGGGCCCTATACCCTAAACCCTAAACCCTATATACTAAGATGTTTCAAAGGGTTTTTGGGGCCAACCCAATGAGCCAATGCAGTAAGAAGAGCTTCATGCGCAGCAGTGAAGATGCCTGAACAGCTGCCAAGATCACTATGCCGCATTTTTATCATTGTAGTAGAACATACAGTCCGGCTTAAGTAGAAAGAATGTGGTTTTGGATATATTATAATATGACCCCCCCATATACCCCATATTCTATCTACTTAAGGGGGACTATACCTCCAAGTCGGCTCAAACACTATCCCAAAACGGACCTTCAAGCACCTGCCAGGAGGGACACTTCGTCGTATATCACCAGCCATGCAAGCATGATCTCACAAATCCTCTTTGTATTGAAGCTGAAGCTTTTTCAAAGGCCGTCGGAAAGCTGAAGCCCTGAATGCTTTGATCAGGAACCTAAGCCCTGCAGACACTGCACCATGAGCATCAACAAGCAGCTTGCTAGCATCAAGACAGAGATTGGTAAAGCTTCTGCAACGCATAACGAGGAGGCGCAGGTCCGGGACAGGAGGGCGTGCCTGTCAACCCCTTTCCCGAGCCAAGTCCCGTAAGCCAAACAAGTCTCACGTAATGAATGGGTGGGCCACTTGTTCGCGCATTGCTTTCTTTCCACACCTTTCTGAATTCGTTTCTCATGGACAGGCTCCACATTAAGATATTGCTCTTGATTCTTCGGCCTCCAGTGTTGTTTCAAGGTTTTTTGCGCTAGTTGTTCCTTGGATCCCAACCTAAGCTTCTCTTGCCGCAGGTTCTGGCGTCAAGGATTCACGAGTGGCACCATGGCCACAACTTCATTCTGCTTAGTTTTCCTCTCACAGGGTTTCTGTCTTCATGATTAGCAATGCTATACACAATGCTACCATTTGGGGTATTCGTTGGCGTCTTGCGGGCTTTGGGTGGAGGATTGTGGTTTAATGTGCAAGTTCGTCAGCTTCAGGCTCAAGGTCGAAGAAGGGCATGTAGGTAAACCGGCACCAGCAAGGAAGTAGAGGGTATATCTTAGATTCAAGCATCTGCTTCACGGGAGCCCATGTTGCGCCTCATAAGCTTGGTAGGCTAACTTAAGCTGCCATGGGTCCAGGACTCCATTTTGATAAACGGTGAGGAGTCCTGTTTGATCAGCATCCGGAGGATGCCGGCTGTTGCAGCAACCTTGATCTGTAGTCTCCTTAGGAATTATTTTTCATTTGTATTATAGTGCAACCATTAGGAATGTTTAGAATTATTGCTTGTATTTTAGGTCGAAGGAGACTACAGTGACCCCAAGCCCTGAAGCCCTAAAACTCAGCACCACGGACCCTACAATATATGAAACTTTCATAGGCGCAAACCACTCTGCCGCTGAATGCGAAGGCTTCCCATGCCATACACAACCCCTCGCATATTTCGTGAAGCCTGTATGGTCCCAGATCCTATCCCTTGTATCCCTAAGCCCATCAAAGCCCTACACGCTACTTTTTGCCCAAGGCCGACAAACATAGACTGACATAGACCCACAGAGCAAGCATCCCTGAGTTTGATTCCCATCACCGACATTATGCTTCAATCCCAGCTCACACCAAAGATTCCCTGCGATGCCTCGTAAAACCTTCCAGCTGATCTTGGAAGGTTTGAAACGCCAAAGCGACCCTATGGCGACGGTTCCGTGGGCAGCGCCTATGACGACTGGACAAGAGAAGGCGCCAATGCCTCAGCTTAAGCCACACAGCAAATTGCAGATCTTATCCCAGGTTCAATTAGTTTGGCCATTGTTGAGGCTCCTCCAGTATCCTAGGCTTGTCAATAACCCTCCAGGGGATTCAGATTATATGCGGTGCTATGAGGTTATCTAGGGATTGTGTGGGGATTATAAGGGATAATAGGGTCATTTTGGGAAATTTAGGGACATTATCCCCAAATAATGGAGAATTCAATGGAAAAGAAAAACGACAATGACATTGAAACTGGGTTTATGTAGTGGCTTGTTTATAGGGCTTATATAGTGTAGGCAAGGGCTTCCGAGAAAGATGCAAACCCGTAATACGCTCATAGGGACTCATCAATAGCCCTTTACAACCCCTACATTTCCTTCGGGTCCCTATGGGGCCCCGCTTCTGGGAAACTGGAACATACGGAGCTAGCTGTGAGGCACTGTGAGGTATAGAAAATAAGCCCCAACAAAATGGAATCTTACAAGGGGGATCCTTTCGCCCCCTACCTGCATCCCAGGCTTTGGGCCTCCTTTTAACTGCACTTAAGTAGAGCAAAAGGACAGCCATGTGGTCACATACAAGATAACAGGGATGGTTAGCACGAAGTACAATTGAATGCTAGACCACCGGTTCGGCCGGTTGTGCAATTCTCTGAATACATGGTAGTCGGCAAGGTATCAAATGTTCAGAAGAAGCCCTGAGTCGCGAGGCAAGCCACCGCATGCCTTAGTTCCCGCAAGTCGCAGAGGTACATGGGTCTGGAAATCAGGTAAGATATGATCCGCGAGGTCCCCGTTCCTGTCAAGTACAATTTTTGAGCCCAAACCTGCACTTGGCTCATCATTCTACCCTGTAAGGGGGGCCGGGCCACTTGGGACACAAGACAGGCAAGGCAACTCCATTGCAAAATCCTTGAGACCCCCATCAACACAACCCTTTCCGCTGCATCTGCCTTGAACCTAGGTCTTGGAGCACTACTGGGGAGAGCACATCCACATGGGTCCTGTGCTCAGGCTTTGCAAGACCTGAGGCTACTGACATGCGCCCAAGCGCCTCCTAAGACCAAGGTACGGTCTCAAGGAGTTTCAGGTTTAGGGTTCGTTTTGGGGGGTTTAGTCTTTTGGGGGTTTGGGGTTTGAGATTAAGCCATGGGCAGTTACAAGCAATGTAGGGACTGCGATGGTGACCAACATCATGTTCCTAGATTCCTCGTATGTTGATGGTATAGGGTACCTTAAGCAGACCTCCTAAACCCTAAACCCTAAATCGCAATGATTTTGGTAATTTATGTGACCCTGCAGTCGGCTTGGAAGCAGGTAGTTAAGGTTACAATTACACGTATCCTCTAAAGCTGACCCTAAAGATGGGTTTAAGGTTTAGGGCTTAGTGTTTAGAATTCAGGGTTTAGGGATTAAGCAAGCTCAAAAGTGGTCATCTGCCGGGGGCTTGGTGTGGCAAGATCTCATCGGAGTAGTCAGGTTGAGGGTTTGGGGTAGTGGTTTAATGTGGTAGCAGCGGTCGCCACCTAAATGCTTTGGGCGGAGCCACGTCGCGATAAGCTCACAAGGAGCTCATTCAGAATTCCAGGCATCAGCACAGCATAATGATCAGGCGCTTGGCACTGACTGACAATCCCCATCAAAGATCGAGTGGTATTGTCCTTTCGTTTGTCGTACTTCATAAGACGAACCTACTCTTACTTGTGGACTACCACAAGTTACTCATCTTTGGGCAACGACCCTGTCAGGATTCACTGGGAATGTTCCGAGAATCATGGAGGGGGCTTCTCAACGGCACGGGTCTCCGTCAGAAATTAGGCTCACTCACCCCACTCTGATTAGAAGAACCCGCTTGATATTGAGCAAACGCTAAATCCTGCATGACCCCGAACTACATAGATCTTGGAAGTTGTGGCACTATGCCTAAACCCTAAACCCTTGAAGTATTCTAAGGCCATGCAGGATTTCTCATATCCACAGTAGTGTTGGGGCTCAGGTTCTTACACTCCCATGGAGAAGCAGAGTGGCTACAGGAAGAAGGCGGGGCAGACAGGGCTTTTTGAGGATTTGGGTTTAGGATTTACAGCCCTTTGGGGATTGAGGGTTTAGGCTTCAGGGGTCTCTGGGGATTTAGGGTTTAGGGTTCAGGATGTTGGGATTAGCGCAAGGGTCTAGTGAAGTGTTTCAGATGTATAGTACTGACTTCACAGTACTCGGGTAACTCTCTTGTGGCCTTTTTGTTACTGGCTTACTCAAAGGGATCTCAGCAGACTAAGCTTTTCTTCTGCTCAACCCTACGCATGGGAGTACGTGGTTCGAGGGATGAACCTAGAGAACGCATCGACATGATGGTCATGGGGTCCAGGGTTAAGGAATTTAGGGATAGTCATAGGGTCCAGGGTTAGGGAAATTTGGGGTTTCAGGATTTGGGGATTGAGGTTTTAGGGCTCATTTTTCAGATTGAGGCTACCAGACGGGCAAAGGCTTCGTGCTCTGGATCTCAGCTCTAGGTTGCAATTTTCTTTGGTGCCAGGGTGTTGCTGTGATTAATGCTTTTTTTCAGGGTTCCAGGCCTCATAGTAGGCCCTATATAGACCACTAAAGAACTCCTTAGAGTCTTGGAGGAGTTTAGGCTATAGTACACATGGGCAACCCTCAACCTTAAACCTACTGCAGGACCCCTTCTTCCTGGCGTTGTTTCGGGCGACCTTCGGACGCCTCAAGAATTTCAAGGAGGCCCAGTTAGTCAGGTGTGTGTTCAGGGTTTGGGGTTTAGGGTGTAGGGTTATGGATTTGACTGAGCGTTTTTGCTCACCAGTTTGGAGGTTGTGAGTTTGTGGGTAGGGGTCGGGGGCTGTGTGAATGTTGAGCGAAGTTTTGGATACACCCCATGTCTGATGAGCAACGCTCCCAAGACAGGCCGGTCCTAGAAGTTGTGTCGCAGCGGCTAGAAGGAACTGAGATTCCGGGAAGGCTCTTGGGGTGTTTGCTTTGTTTTCTGGAATTCGGAGTCCGGGACGTGGCCTCAGATTCAAGTCATGCAAGTAGAGTCTGGCATCAAGCTTATGCGGCCTTTTTCTATAGTGCTAAGGCTGCACTCACGTGAGAGTCATGGGTTCAAAATGTCGCTGGTTTGCGGTAAGTGGTCTTGCCCAGCTACTATTTGTAGGCCGCATTGGAGTTGTGGATGTCTAGCCCAGTGAGGGCTTCTCAAAATACGGGCAGCCTTGCATAAGGGTTTAGGGTTATCCTTATCTGCTGGCGATGCAGAAGGCAGGACCTTGTCTTTTTAATGTCCCGTTTGTGCATTTCTCGAGGGCTGAAGAAGTTAGGTTCAGAAGTATGGGGCCTTGCAAGAGGCTTTTACAGGGGCCATATGAAAACCCAATTTAACTTGTAGAAACGTTATACGGGTTATGCGGTTGAGACTAGAAAGTCTTGTATAACCTTAACATGCTAAACTCCCAGGATGTTTTAGTATCAGCCCTAAACCCTGGTTGCTTGCCGACGGCAGCCGGGAGATGACTGACACGGGCGGATGCTGCAGAGTAACGCGGGTCCTTGATGACTCCACAACGGTTACCAATAATGTTGTCCTGGGTTCCTTGCATAGCTGTGGAGTAAGGGACAGGTGGCAAATAGATGTCGAAATGATTTTGGTAATTCTTCCGGCCTGTATATAAGGCTGAGGGCTTGCCGATCTTTGAGCCCTAAACCCGCAACATAGGCAGACATGAATGCCAGGTCTCAGTCGGTGTTGGTGGCAAGGTGCGGGTACTCGTTATGTATGGTTCTGGGAGCTCTTTTGATCCAGTATATATAGGGTTCTATGGGGGTTCTATGGGGTTATATAGGGGTTATATAGGGCACAGAGGTATCTCTACACCTTTTCCCTTGCCCTGACTTCCTGCGCACCGGAAATCCTAAAACCTTAGCATACCGTGCCGAGTCCTAAAGCCTTCCTCCACCCAAAGCTCTAAGGGTTAATCATAAACAAAGTTTAGGGTTTAGGGCCCAAACCCTAACCCCCAGACCCTAAACCCTAAACCAGCCCAAAAGTTAGAATATTAGTTTCGGGCGGAAAAGCATTATGAAGCATTCCATATTCATGATCCAAGTGTTTGGCCTTTGCGGCTGTTTCAGGCAAAGATCGACTTCACCAACGAGATGATTGACTGGAGTCGTGTCTCGGTGAAGATGTAGAATCATCATCATCATCACAGTTATTCTCGTTTGTAGTAGTAGTACTACTACTACTACTACTATTGCTATTGCT